TTAAGTTAAGAATCCTTAAATTAAGCCTCTCCAGATGAGATCGTTGGGATTACCCCAATGGGTTCTAAATCCACCTTCTATGTCCTTATAAGAAACAGAAAAGGACGAGACCGAGACCCAGAGGAGAAGGCCATGTAAAGACAGGCAGAGATTGAAGTGATGCTGCCACAAGCCAGGGAGTGCCAGGGATTGCCAGCAACTACCAGAAGCTAAGAAGAGCCAAGGGAACATGGCCCTGCCAACAATCTGGTTTTGGATATCTAGCCTCCAGAACTGTGAGAGTAAATTTCTGTCATTTTAAGCCACCGAGTTTGTGGTACTTTGTCATGCCAGGCCCAGGAATCTAACACAGCTGCTTTGGGGCTATAACAGCAGAGCTGAGTAGTTATAGCAGAGATTTTGTGCCCCCTCCCCCACCCAAGCCTAAAATGTTTACGCTCTGGCTCTTTACAAAAAGTGTTTGCTGACCTCTGATCTAGAGCATCACCTTTATTTGTATAGTTGGAGACAGCATACCACTGTGTCTGCCAGGGAAAAAATTAATCACCCTGTTTGTGGTACCCCACTTTATAGATGGGGAGATTGCAACAGAAAGAGGTTAAGAGAGTTACCCAAATGAGGTAGCCACCTGTCATTTCTGCATGCCAAAATATCTCATTCCTCTTCTTCCAACCACAGCACCATGACTTTCCTTGGGGGACAGCCCTCCCCACAATTCCCACGGTTTCAGCAGGGCTGACCCCACCTCTTGGTTCCAGGGTTGGGTACTCAACTGCGTTAGCTCAGGCTGCCTTAACAAATACCACAGACGGGGTGGCTTAAAGAATAGAAATTTATTTTCTCTTAGTTCTGGAGGCTAGAAAATCCAAAGTCAAGATCTGGTAGAATTTGGCTTCTGGTAAGGGCTTTCTTCCTGGCTTGCAGAGGGCCACTTTCTTTCTATGTCCTCACATGGCCGCCTTTCTTTGGTGCGAGCACATGGAGAAAGAGACCTCTCTCTTCCTCTTATAGGGCCACCAATCCGATCTCCAAATACAGTCACATTGGGGATTAGGAGTTCAACATGTGGACTTGAGGCGGTAGGCGGACACACCGAGGGAACGCTAATCAGTGCATTTTCTTTCTTAGTCACTTTTAGCACATGACCCCAGACTATCCCAAGGCATGGCATTTGCTGCAACTTTCAGGAAAGTAATTCCCTCTTTTCCTCTGCACTGAGAATAATGTGAGATTAGAGCAGACCTTCCAGAGAGTACAGCCCACTTAGAAGAAAGCAGAGCTAAGTAGCGGAGGGAGAACAGGTCCATATAGCATTGCAGCACCTAGATCCAGCTGTACCTGAAATAGGTCCCTCATGGATTTCTCAGTTAACATGATAATTTTTTTTTTTAAGCCAGTTTGAACTGTGTTTCTGCCACTTGCAACCTGAAGAATCTTGACTAATAGACTATGGTCTCATAGCTAATAGGAGCAGAGATGGGATCTGAAAGCAGGTCAGCTTAGCTCTCAGAGGCCCAGTCCAGGATTTCTTGGGAGTAATCCAGGAGCCATCTTCTGAGGCCTGGTTCCGAGATAGCAGCTGGGTTCTGACATTTTTGAGGCATTCACCCTTGCTCTTCTTAAATAGCAGTGGGAGCAAGGAAAGTAAAATGAATGTGAACTAATAAAGACAATTATTTAAATAAATCCAGATTATTTCAGGGAATGCTCCCTGTTATGAAACAAAACATGCTTCCCAGGACTGAGGTTCCAGCATAGCCCCTGACAAACGACCCAGAAAAATTCCCAGCAGATGAGGAAGGGACATTCCCTGGTCCCTGGGAGTCCTGCCCTCTGGCTTCCTTGGAGCCAGATGCCTGGGTTCAAGGCACGGCTCTGCAAAGGCTGTGTGACCTTGGGTGGGCAGCTGAACCTGCCTGTGCCTCAGTTTCCTTCACTGGGAAAATAACAGTATCTATTTTACAGGATTAATGTGAGGAGTGAACATGTACAACGTGATTAAAACACTGCCCGCACACAGGTCCTCTGTAAAACAATTATTAACAGTATTATTCCCAAGGCAGGCTCCTCCTCATCCAGGTCTCAAACCAAATGTCACCCCTCAGTGACCCTCTGGCTTCCACAGGTCAGCCACCACCTTGTCACTCCCTCCTACGGTTTTGTTTCTTTCAGAGCATTTTCTCGCTCAGGGATCCTTCTTTTTTTAATTCCTTTTTTTTTTTTTATTAATACAAGGCTGTAAGCTTCACGAAGGGCAGAAACTGCGCCTTATCAACTGCGATTTTCCCCAGCACCGCGTCTCCTGCCTGGTACATAGTAGGTGCCCAGTGAATATCGGTTTGAAGAAAGGACGGCAGCAGGCGGCAGGGGCCACTTCCGTCCCAGGGCCTGCCACGCCACCGAGGCTTGTGGGGCGGGGAGGGCTGGGCAGTCTGGCTGTGCGCGCTCTTCTCCTCCCCAACTTCCCAGTGTAACTTCACGGGAGCACGACTCCAGAGGCTCCCTGCACAAGGCCCCCGCCCCGGAATCGGGCTTTCTCAGTTCTGCCTTCGGCGAGGGAGGATGGGGCGGCCCGCGGGAGGCCAGTCCCAAGCGCGTCCTGAAGTCCCTCCCGCCGCCCCGCGTCGCTTTAAGGCGGAGGCCGGGGAGGGGGCCGACCCCGCCCGCCCGCCCGCTCCGCGCTCGGCTCCAGACTTCGGCATTTCCTCCCCACTTGGCTGGCGCGGCCTCGCCTCCCCTCGGAAGAGGAAGCTCCCGGGGTCCGAGTAACGGGAACAAGCGCGGAGGGGAGCGGCAGGAGCGCCAGCAGGGCCGCCCAGGGTAGGAGGCGAGCCGGGCCGGGCCAGAAGCTGGCCGAAGGCGGCGCGCCGGGGCGCCGGGCGGGCAGGGCGGCCCCGCCGGGCGCAGCGCGCAGCCGGCGCAGGGCGCGGCCCGGGGCCCGGGAGTGCAGGGCGGGCCGCAGCTGGAAGGAACACTTGAGCTGGGAGAGGAGGCCGAGCTGGAGGGCGGCTGCCCCCGGTCCTGCGAGGGGGGAGCCGCCGCCGAGGCGAAGGAGACGGGGACAGCAGGGCCGCCGGCGCGCTGCGCGCATGCTGGGCCGGGGGCGCCGCCGGGGCTCGCGCCCTGGGCTGCTCGGCCGCCGCGGCCCCGGGCGCCCGGCATGTCTGTGCACTACACGCTCAATCTGCGCGTCTTCTGGCCCCTGGTGACCGGCCTGTGCACCGCCCTCGTGTGCCTCTACCATGTCCTGCGGGGAAGCGGGGGCGCCCGGGCCGAGGCCCCCGACGGCGCGGACGGCGGCTTCCCACTACTCAAAGCGGCTGCCTTGCTCCTCCTCGGCTATGTCCTCCTGCGCTGTCGCCACGCTGTCCGGCAGCGCTTTCTTCCTGCGTCTCCCCGTATGGGGGTCCACTCCGCCTTCTCGCCAAGACCCTTGCGAGAGCCAGGCCTCAGCGTCTTGCTGGAGAGTTACTACGAGCACGAGGTGCGCCTGTCTCCGCACGTGCTGGGCCACAGCAAGGCGCACGTGAGCCGGATCGTGGGCGAGCTGGTGCGGGCTGGCCGTGCCCGGGGGTCCCCAGGCCCCATCCCAGGGGGAGCGCTGGCCTTGGCCTTCCGCGGAGACTTCATCCAGGTGGGCAGCGCCTATGAGCAGCATAAAATCCGCCGGCCCGACGGCTTTGACGTGCTGGTGCCGCTGCGTCTCCCGCCACTGGTGGCGCTGGAGCCACGGAGCCTGGGGGGCGAGCCAGGGCTGGCCCCCGCGTTCAGCGGCTGCTTCGTTTGTGCCCTCAAGGCACCACCCTCGCCATCACCGTCGGGGACCTCAGGGGGCCACTGGCTTAAGGAGTGCAAGCCCTTCGCTGATGGCTTCTGCGTGGATGTGCGTGGGCGGCGCCACCTCTCTGCCACTCTGGTGCTGCGCTGGTTCCAGTCGCACTTGCAGCGCTCCCTGGCCACCGTGCGCTACAGCCTGGAGGGGCACTGTCGGGTCAGCCTGACCCCAGGTGGCCTGGAGCAGCCCCCCACTCTACACATTCTGCCCTGCCGCACGGACTACGGCTGCTGCCGCCTTTCCATGGCGGTGCGTCTCATCCCTGCCGTCCATCTGGGAGACGGGGTCTTCCTTGTGGCGCCACCACCGCAACCCTTGCCCATTGGACCCCTGTCGGAGTTCCCGGAGGGCCTGCGCACCGAGGCACTGTGGGGTGTGAACACAGCGCGCCAGGAGCAGAAGCTCCTGAGCTGGCTGCAGGAACGGGCGCCTCCAGGTGCCTGCTACCTCAAGTGCTTGCAGTTGCTTAAGGCTCTGCGAGACCTGGGCGCCCGTGGGCTGGATTCAACGGCTGCCACCCAGTGGGGACGCATCCTGTCCTCATATGTGCTCAAGACAGTGCTGCTGGCAGTGCTGCTGCGCAAGGGGGCCCCTGCACAAGGCTGGCACGAGGCACACCTAGGCGAGTGCTTGGAGGAATTGGTGCAGTTCCTCAGGGACTGCCTGTTGCGACGTCATACGCTCTTCCACTGCGTCCTGGGCCCTGGTGGGGCCGCCGCCGAGGTGGGTCCCCTGCCCAAGGTACTGCGCGAAGCCAGCCCAGTTGACCTCCTGGCCGTTTTCGACGAGCACTCCCGGGAACTTGCAGCAGCGCGGTTGCTGTCCACGTGGCGAAGGCTACCCCAGCTTCTCCGGGCCTACGGGGGTCCCCGCTACCTTGCCAGGTGCCCTCCACCCCGGAGTCAGCGCACCCAGGGGTTTCCTGAAGGGGAACCGTAAACCCTGCAGCACCCCCACCTGGGCAGATGCTCCTAAATCCTCTCCCACTGAGTGGGGGTGGGGATGGCAATGAAGCCAGTTAAATGCAAGATTGCAGAAGGCATTAGAAAACTTGGAAGATGCCACAAGCTTTGGTGGCTTAAATGTCACCCTCATCTGACAATCCTGTATACTTATGGCATCTTCTTCACACCCACTAGTGTGTCCTGGGCGAGCTATGGAAAACTGTGGAAAGGCTGTGGGCAAGCTATGCAACTGCAGCCTCTAAGAGTTGGTCCAAATGTTGGTTTGTGTGGGATGATTCTGTAGACGGATCTAGCTTTTAGGCAAGTCCAGTGGAGGAAGCGAGTACTAGCCACAGGGAAAGTTCCTTCTCTCAGTTTTTAGACACAGATCTCTCTGCCCAAAAATTTTTTTAAAAACGAATGTTTTTGACATAACTACTTGCTAGGTACTGGGTTCCAGATTGTTTTTAAAAAAAAAAAGCACCTGAATCTTTATCCACAACTGGAATTAAAGTTCTGTTCTAGGGGTTAATGTTCTCAGGAACATAATTTCCACTATTCAAGTTAATATTAATGTATTTTTCAAATGGTGCAATCACAGGTGTTTGACAAGATTGTCAAAAATTAAGTCACACATGTCAAGAGGCAATCAAGAGTCGGTTAGAGACACTTCCAGAGCAAATAGCACTTTATTTTGATCAATTCTCTCCTTTTGTGGTAATTGCTAGCACCAAGTGTTGCATCTGAAAGGGAGGCCAGTTACATTTATTGTTAAGAAATTTGCAGCCTCGAAAAACATCCAACGTGCGTGCTTAACATCCCTGCCGGCAGAAGCTAGGCTATATACCAGTCAGTCAACACCAGTTCATTGAGCGCCCACTATGTATGAGCCAGGCACAGTGCAAAGTAGCCTTAAAGTACATATTCAAGACAGCGCTGGGTGAGGGCACAAAACGTGTTGAGTCTGGAGAAAGATGTGTTTTAGGCTTTACCTATAAAGGCGTTTGTCCAGGGCTTCCTGCTGGCTGGAGACAGAAACCTTTTTTGTTTTAAGGCTTTTGAGCAAACTCCTTTGCAAAGAGATTTCTTTCTGAGCTTAATGAGCTAATAATGGAAAGGAAATGCCTGCTGCAGTGCCTCGCATGTAGTTAGCGCTCTCAATCAATGCCAGTGATGATCAGTGCTTGGAAGGTTCTTCTCCCTTGCCCCGGCAGCCTCATGTGGTTCCCTGAGGCTAACTTTGAGCTGTTGACTGAGCACAGGTCTTAAAAAACATTTCACTTGTAGTTCAGTGTCTTGGGCTTTATGCTTGAAGATACTTACTCTGTGGTCAGTGGGCAGAGGAGACGGCCCTCGCTGGCAGTCTGCTCTTTTTTCTCATTGGGCATAAATATCACCAAGTTGGGGAGTTGGGTATATTTTGTAGCCAGGAGGAGTCCATTCTGGAATCTTTCCTGTCCTCCCAAATTTCTAACGGCCCTCAATTGCAGTTCAGAATGGCCTATCATCTGCTTGCCTGATTGGAAATGCAGCCAGTCCCAGTGTTATTGGGATTTTTTTTTTTAAAAAACAAAGACATGCACTTCCTTAGGCTCATACTAGTAACTGGGAAGACAGAAATAGCTAAGTGAATAGGACCATTGTTTAATTTCTGAGCTGCTTTGAGGGAATGCTATAAACCTTTCTTTGGGGGACTCATTTGGTCACTGGGAAATCATTGTGAATAAATGATTTATAGGGAATCCTTCTCATCAGAGCTGCGTAGACTTCCTATATATATCCTTTGCAACCTTGGACTGAAAGAGAAACAGCTGCAAATGTGCTGTTTCGTTGAGGTCATCTTGGGGACGGTTCCCCACAAAGGCCATTCCTAGCTTTAGAGGTCAATGTTAGGTCATAAGGTACTGCACTGAGCTAAGGGATCAGTCCAGCAACTTCCTGCGTAGAAACTGCACACTATTTTTTTAAATTAGTTTTTAAAATAAATGCCAATGATAGATTTTTTATGTATACATATATATGTATTTTTCCATACTTAGCCACAATTTCCCCTGTACTCATTGGAGTGGGGGACAGTGAGGCTATTGGAGGGATTATAAAGCTTTAAAAGCTGAGTTTTCCAAATATTTCTAGCTGAGTCAATGGGTTCCTTTTTTAAAAAATAGTATTTTGAAGTATAAATCCAGTAACATACTGTTCTTGTAGTTTTCTTGTTTTGTTTTTTTTTTTTTTAGGTTAATTACCCAAAGCCTCGTCCATCCTCAAGGTTTTTAAATTTTATTTTTTTTAATTAATGGGGCATTGTATTTGTGAATTTTAAAAATATTAATGTTTTATTTAAATGCCATGCTGAGCAATTGTTCTCTGTACGTGGTAACCAAAACTGAGAGATTTCGATCAATTTTGATCAATTAGTAAGCCAAAACCTGTACTGTGTACATAAGAAATAATACGGCGCATTAGCCAGCTGTGATGGTTGCCCAGGGCACTTAACTTAAGCTCAGTTCTGTGTTTTATTTGGGCTCCGTCATGTCCTTTCATGGGAAATGTACACATTTTTGGTGTGTGCCTGGTACTGGAGGTTCATACCTGCAAATACTCTCATACAAGAAGGCACAGCAGCCACCCCAGTTTTCCGGCCAGTGCCCAAAGAAAATGTTTTTGGGGAAGATGATTCAGCCGTTCTGTGGCAAGACACCCTTCAGTAACACCCACTGGCCAGTCTTGGGAGCTTTCCTGGAATGCTCGTGGGCTGAGAGATGTTTTTTGCAAAATGAAACTGAAGCTGAAAGAAGGGAGAATTCGAGTGAACCAAAAGAAATCGGAAGACTTCGGGAAGGAGGACTTAAGATGGAAGCGAAAGGAAGAGAGGGGAGAGGGGGACACGAGGTGACAATTACACGAGGGTGCGAGAGGTTTGGGTTAGGTTAGGAGACGCCTATTTAGGTATGTGCTATTTCCAGCCGGGGGTCGCAAACTCAGCAGGCTGCAGACACAAGGGGGGAGGTGGGAACTGTGCCCACCTTAAAAGGGGCAGCTGTTACGTCAGCTCCATGCAGGAAAAAAAGGGGGGAGGCTGGAAATCAGGATTTTTTTTTGAAAAGCCAAACTTGCTGATTTTTAAACAAGTTTAAGGTGTCTAAGAAACACCACGTGGTGGAGCCTGGGGCCCCTTTGCGACCCCCGCCTTATGCAGTTTACAACCCCAAGTATGTGTAAGGTTCTATTTTTTGTTATGGATACGGTGGTGAAATGTACAGTAGGGAACGTGGTATTTCACATCATCTTTCTTTCTCCGAGCTAAGTTTTATTGTAGAAACAAACCAAAAAAAAAAAAAATTAACACGGCCACAGATAACACTTAACTCACAATTCCCAGAAGGACCCTAGCTAGGTCCTGGAGCCCTTCTTTTCGAGTCAGATCCTACATCTAGCCCCTTGGGGCCAGTCCCTGGCATTTCCTTCCGGGTGATTTGGGGCAAATTTCTTGGCTCTGTCGGGAGTTTGCAGATGAGTAATCCGGAAGGATTGCAGAATAACTCGTTTCTTTGTAATTTATTCTTACATTAAAATTACTTTTTTGGGAGTGGTATCCTAGCCTGTGCCGTTACAATGACGGTTGGCGGCTGTGAACACCAGAAACAGTGCTGGGGTTTTGCATGGGGCGCGGCGAGCTTCATAGGCTGGTACCATTTCTACTGTCGAAAACCCTGTTCGGATCAGACTTCGTTCCTGAATGTCTCTCTCCCTTTCTGACTCGGAGGCTCCCACCAAAATTGACATCCCAGCACTATGAAGGAATTAACCTAAAGTGCTTCCAAAGCATCTCATTTAACCTTGTGGAGGAAGTCACTATTTTTGTAACGTGGCTTTTGACCTACTCACATGAAGGAACATTGTTACCTCCCTCTCCAGGGGTGGAGAAAATGAACCTCATTAACATTTCCAGGGGCCATCAAGAGGGAAACAAGTTCCGTGTTATCTTCGTGGTGTTTGTTAGTTTTTTTTTAAAAAATCGCTTGTCTGTTACTTAGACACAGCTGTTTATTTTTTATGCCTGCCTAGCACATGATTAGTTGGAGATAAAGCAAGTATAAAGAAGGTGGTTGAAAGTGAATGTGCGATCATGTACGCAGAGAGACTAGACTAAAATATGCAGCTAAATTATATATACTGTAACCTGGTTTTTGAAATCTAATATTCAGGAATATTTTCAGCAACTTCTGCTTTAAAAAAAAAAAAGTGCCTTGATTCAGTTGCTTGACTTAAAACATTCCTCCTATTTTATTGTTATTTTTAATGTGTCTTTTGACCCCAAACTGTGTATTAAGATGCAGTCTGGTGGCTGCAGTCCTAACATAAGTTTTGTTGCAATGACAGAGACCAAAGAGTTAATCATGTATGGTTCAGCTGCTACAAGTGTGTGCTTAAAAGGCATTTTAATCACACCAGATTCCCATGGCCCAGTCAAGGCCTGCCATTCGTTTTCTATTTCAGGTTGGAGTAAATTTGCACTTTTAATCACATGGGTCTTTTGGGGACCTTGTTCTTTTATATTTTGCTTTATTAATAAAGGAACTTGTAGAAACCTCTGGACTGTATGTCACATTTGGGGAGGGCTTTCATCTTCCTGTGGTTCTTTGCATGAGCCTCAACTGCTTTTGGCATCTGGGTGTTTGGGGGTCCTCGGCCAATACAGTAAAGCTGGGGATAAGTATAAGAATTAGCTTCCTATACAGGTGGGAAAATGCCAGCTCATAGCCCCGCAGACGTGCGCCCTGGGAGTCTTTATCTAGAGCCTTCTGCCCCCGCCTGTCCTCTCTGCCTCACTCCCCAAGCCCCAAACACAATTCAAGTCTTGGCCTGTGGCTCAAGAATTTTGTCCAGAAATCTCTTAGGCCCTCAGGCCCTCTCGAAGAGGTAAACATTTGCTAATATGAAAACCCACCAGGCTTAGCGTGAGATGGAATCTTGGAGACTGTGTAGGGCTGTTCAGAGCCTCAGGGCCAGGTGGAAGTTTAGGGAAACCTGCAGCCACAGGCTGGTTAAACCTTAGTTGTGTAGGACACCTGCCCAGGGGAAAGTCGGTAGGGTGCGTTTCCTTTAGTTTTCAACAAGTAATACTGACCCAGGGCGTTGAAGACGTGCACGCAGAGAACCATCCCGCTGGGCCTAGACGCTGAGCAATAAAAGACACTGCTGAGATGGATATCACTCATGTAAGCCACTGAGTTAGTGGCAGTCAGTTTGTTGTTCAGCAATAATGAACTGACTTGGATGCTTAGGAAAACCTGGCGTACAAAGGCTGGCATTGGAGTAAATTATGGGCAGTCCTTGACTTCTGTGCATTTAACTTTCAAACAGCCAGACTTTGATGCAGGTGCTTGACTGTATAAAAGTCAAAACCCCTTCACCACAGTGGATCCGGGTTTCCCTCATCAACTGAACACAGTGGGGTGCTTGGTCCACCATTCAATGGTTGAGCTGTGGCACTGTCGCCATCTCTGTGCAAAGCGTTTACACGGCTGTTTGAGTATGTTCCTGCATTTGCCTTACCTTGTAAAAACAAATGGAAGCTGAGAAAATGAAAGTGCTGATTTGATGACAAGATGCCACAGGTCACAAAGGTAATAAAAGCAGGACAATGATTTGGTGTGCCCAGTGTGGCTAAGCTACAGCTTCGGTCTCGTGCTTAGTGGTGTTAAGGAGGTAGAGGGTGTGTTCAATTTTAAAGGAGAACAACAATGAAGAGCATATAGGAAACTGTATCAGTTAGGAATACATTTGGCCACACTTTATGAAAACCTAGCCTATAGCGACTTAAACAAACAGGAGATTGTTTTTCTCACGCAGCCAGAAGCCCAGAGGTAAGCAGCCAGCAGACTGGGGATGAATCAGGGCCCAGGCATCTTTTTGCTCTGCCATTCCAGGTACTTGCTCTTTTATCTTCATGTTTGTCCTGTCAAGGTCTCAGAAAGGCTGCTGTAGCTCCAGGCATTGTGACTTTGTTTAAAGAAGAGAGAAGAGAGAGTGCATTAGGGAGCTCAGTAGAATTCCTCTCACATCTCATTGGCCAGAGTGATGTCACATGACCATTCTTAGCTGCAAGGGAAGCTGGAAAAGAGAGCCTGGCACATGGAATACAGCAACCCTGAGCAAAATGTGAAGAAAGGATGTGTATTAGTGGGTAAATAAGAGTCTGCAGAAATACCAGAAACAAATAGCCAAACATTGCGTCAAAGAAGTGAAAAGTAATTAGGGAACCTATCATTCCATAATTGTGTAATTTATACTTATCTAAGTCTTAGGATATAGTAAATGCTCCATAACAAGGATTGAAGTCACAGCTCCACCATTCACTGGGTATATTCTTTTGGGCAAGTCAGTTAAGCTGTCTGGGTATCAGTCCCTTCATTTGCAAAATGAGGGTGATAATCCCTTTTTTTATAGGTTCGTTGGGAGAATCAAAGAGTGATGCATGTGAAATTGAGAAGTGTTATCCAAACGTTAGCTGTGTTCACTTAGGAGTGGTGCACTAGCATCTTTGGAACCACAGGAAGGTGAATCCATTTCTTAAGAGGGGGTCCCCCTTAGGCACCTCTGCCCAATGTCTCCCTGCCACCCAACTTGCTTCCCTACAGGACTGTGAATGAGTCTGCGGTTGTGAATGTTTGTTGTACTTGTCCCCAGAAGGGAGAAGATCCAGTGAGAGGATCCACCACCCCCGTATCTTGTTCTTGCTTCTAAAGTGTGTCATCGTCTTGTGAGATTTTGCCCCAGTTTGATTTTCATTGCTTGAGTTCTGAGCAGAAAGCTTAGGCTAGTGGTTCTTGATTCTGATTCTATGATGATATGCGAGGGGCTTTGTAAAAATATCTGTGTTTGGGACCCCACCCTAGGCCAGTGAGATCAGAACTTCTGAGGGCGCAGAGCTCCCTGAAGATTTCAGAGTGCGGCCAGGGTTGTTAACCACTAAATTAGGTCAGATGGC